AAAAACATTTGCCTAAATCATATCAGATCACAATCTCTTAAAAATTTTCCTGTTTCTTATTTGCTACAGCCACTCCTTGCATTACGCAAGAAAATACTACGTCAAGAAACAAATTCTATGATTTTTCTGTTTTTTACTACATTTCCGTTATTTAGTTGCCTTATTATATATAGCACAAAATTTCCTACCTTTGATAAAACTTAGGATAAATATTGCTAAAAACGTGTTTTTACGGCTTTTAAAATCTTAATATCCCTAAAATGTTATTTCATGTATTTAATATATGAATTACTGTTATGATGCAGGGACAAAATTAATTGGCACTTCCTCATTTACTACAGTCAGTCACCAAAATTAGAAGATTGGTTGCAAGAATTGGTAAACTCGGTCAACAGATTAACCCATTAGCCGCTGGTGTTGCGTTGACGCAATGGTCAAAATAAATGCGTATATGAATATAACTACCTAAGATATTTTATACCACCAGATGATTTTGTGTAGGGGATATTATGAAGATTATTTCTGTAAAAAAATATTTGCCTTCAACAATCATTTTGTAAGCAAAATTTAAGCAAAATTTTTGACCGGGTATTTTTGATTAAAATATTTCCCGAAAGAATTGCCGTCTTTATGCGTGATCTATTTTTAGTCAAGGTCACTGTTTATCAAAACATTACATCAGTCAGATGTTTATATTTGTGTTGGGAAGGAAGGGAAAACAGGTGTTGCACTGATGCAGCGTCAGCAGGAAACGGGTAGTCAATCTCATTTTTCACTCATTCCTTTCGATGTTCTGGTTGTTTAAAAATGACTAGAACGAGGTATCTTACATTAGAAGAAGGCCTTCAAAGATTTTTTGATGAAGAAACAGATGATGATGATAATGTTAATAATGACCAGAATGAAACTGATATTGTTGTTCCCCAACAAATTGTAGAAGCTAGTCGTGAAGAAGAAAGGAATGGCAATGCTTTAAATAATGATAATGATATTTTACCAAATGATACTGCTGGGGAAGTTGAAATTCACGTAAGAAGTAAGTTTTAGCCTTCTAATAGCAGTTATAGTCATACTAAAAAGTTTAAAAGGCAGAAGACTGAAATCTTGAAGTGGATAAAAAAGGAACTGTTAGTTATGTCTCAGGAAGAACATGAAGAAAGAGATAGAAGATAAATTATAAAAGACAAAATACAAGGTAAAACTAGTGCACAGATTTTCGTTTTGGTTTAGACATTTACTCTCTTCTCGTCGAACAGAAAAAAACGCTCAGCAAAAAAAGAAGCCCAGAATTTATGGCATCTGAAGCCTATATGAGAAGATTTATTGGAATATTATTGCTTACAGGATATCATTCTTTACCTCAAGAAAAAATATTCTTTTGATAAGGACATTTCTGTTCCTGTTGTACGAGAATCAATATCACGTTTGCAGTACAGGAATATGAAGCAGAATTTGCATTTGACAATAGTCAAATTGACAATACTGATAAATTGTATGAGGTGAGACCGTATCTAAACTTACTAAATATCACCACTTCTTACTACTGGAAATATAAAGTATCTTTTAGATTTCAGACGTGAGAATGCATTATTCCTTTTGCAAACTCCTATTGAGAGTGTAGAGTTAGCCAGAAATATCTAGATCAGCAACAGAAAGACCTAGTAAATTCAGCATTCAAAAACCACTGCATGGAGATAGTAGATATTTTATCGTAAAGTCCATTGATAACAAAAGACTTTGTTGTAAAGAGTACCATAGCCAAACTGTTTACAGATGCAAAGTATGTAATGTAGCTTTACATCATGATTGTAATCAAGCTTTTCATGCTTGAATCTTTCAATTGAAATAATCTGTATTTGTAAAAGAAATACAATGTATATTTTAATATTAAATTAATTACAGGTAAAGTGATTTGTAGATTTATAAAATGTTATACAGCTAAAAAGTAATCCTGCACACCACTCAAAAGAAACATCACAGGAGTACAATCCTATTCACTAAACGTCCGTAGTCTTATTCCGCTGACGTTGCGCGAATGCAACACACGCGTTTTCCACAGCTAAAAGCATTTTTTTTTATTATTTTCAATGCAAATTTATGTTATAAATGCTTAATTTAATATTTGTCATTATTTTCATGAGAAAAGAAACATTCCTTGAAGTTTTGGGTGTTAATGGGTTAACCTGTAATGTGTTTATATTTTTAGACATTTAATTATGAAGTTGTCCATGAGATATCGATACTTTTCTTCCTCTAAAATGTTGATCATTTTTAATAAGATATCATCAATACTTTTCTTCCTCTAAAATGTTTATCATTTTTTAATTTACGATCAACTCAAAAAGAAATAGTAATTATTTATAAATTAATAATTGCAATATATATTTTATTTTCACATTCATTGTAAACTATGCAACATCATTACATTGTTACTTTTCTCCCTCTAAAATGTTGACATTTTTTAACTTTCTATCAAGTGGAGATAGTAGTTCCTTTGCGATATTCATTCTTTCATTTCTCCCCCCTTCATATTAACCGTTTTTGGACACAGAGCAAATGGCCACTAAATTATTGGAAGGTAAAGAAAGTATTTGGAAATGAAGGTGTAAAACTGAAAGAAGAAAAAAAAAATGTTTCACGACTCCTTCCCTTTTCTTACTGCTTTACACTTTATATACCATTGAAATGAAGAACTAGTTTTCATAGTTAAAATACAAGTGAAAATAGCAAAAAGCACCCACATTTGATTCTAATAGCAACAAAACTGGGTTTCATAAAGGTTAATAATTATTGTTTTCAGCCCAGCCAAATGTGTTTTTTTTTAACTGTTTAAAGGTTATTACAGTATTTATGTAGTTTTTGCCAAATTGCAGTGGCTGCTTTAAACAAGGAAGTACCTATTTATTTTCACATTATAAGTAATCTCAAATAATTTGCCAATTTAAATCAGTTACTTCAAAAATGTACCATATCGATCTTTTTAACATGCATGGATACGTAGGTTACAGGTGTTTAATACTGCTTCTGCTCTAAAAGGCATGATGGATATGTAAATTTTTACTGATTATCAGACTAAAATCACATACTTACTTTTGCTCTCTTGTAATTGAGCAGGAACACTATTGTAAATGATGGAAAATTATTACTGAAGGGTAACCTAAGTAAATAACTTGCAATAACACATTATGCACACAGGAAATTTTCCTATCAAGCCCATGTGGGTTTAATATATTTAGATATGGCACTTGAAAGCATTACATTAGACAAAATATTTCACTAAATACTATTTGCTCAGCTTCAGATTTATTAGAACTTAACAGGTATCTATAATTTTTATTTCATATTCAAGCTTCTACCGAAATACATTTTAGTACAGAATTCCAAGTTCTACTTAAAACTAGATTAAATTTATAAAAAGAAACTCAATATATAATTATTTCCAAGCCTTCATAACAAAATTTCCTGGCACTCATTTTTTGACTAGTTATGTCATTATAACGGAAATTAAATATCTAAATACTTGACTATATGACTAGCATAAGCAAGAAATTATTTTTTCTTGTTAAAATAACAATACACATTATAAATATTCTGTGTTAAACTGCATATGGTATCAAATTAATTACCATCTTCCTATTGAATGTAGATTATTTAAAGGCTGTAAGTTATAAAAGGGATTTTTTCCCTTCAAAAAAGAAAACCAAATTAATAGTTTTTATGACCAGAACTTTCAAACTTAAAACTTTCAAATAACAAAGCAGTGTTTAACTTTTATGCCCGAGGTGCAAATTTTAGAATTCCCAATATTAAAAAAAAAATCACTATATTTAACCATTTCAGCTAAAATAATTTGTATTTGTTGCCAGCTAAAATAAAATGTATTTGTTGCCATATAATATATCAATGCATAATTCATTTCTTAGTTTAAACAAACATGTATTCGAATGTTTAATGAACAAATAAGTTAACAAAAAAAGAAAATGTATAACACGTACCTTGTTTCCCGATGACATGAAAACTAAATTACTGCGGATAATTGTTAGCAAGTCTTAAAAAAAAGTATTTTTAGCGCTTTAAAATTTTGAAAAGAAATTTTGATCTGCCAAATCTGAAATTACTGATACAAGAATAACTCCAAAAAAATGCCTGTATTTTTTTATTGAAATCAAATATGGTAAACAAATTACAGAGTGAGTTAAGACGTTTTTAACAATCAAGTGTGAATATGACACGTAAGCGTACGACTTAACACGTATGTAAATGATTTACGGCACGAGACATTAATATGAAATTAACACAAGGCGTAGACACAAATCCGACAGCCACTTAGTTTTAACAATAAAAAGAAGTCTTCACATCATCCACGTCCGATGCTCTGTGCTTCGTCATATCGCGAGATCCAACTGCCAGAAATCAACCACGCGATCGGCCTGCTTCTGTTAAAACACCGGAGCGCGACGTGTGGTGGGTGTAAGCCGTCCCGACGCAAAAGTGCTTTAAAGAAAAAAGTTGAAACTCTTGTTTAGGATCATCACTAAAAACTTCATAAAAATAATGGTCACTATTGACCAAAATCTACATACCTGGCTAGATTAAAATACTTGTAAAAGATTAAGAAAAAAAAAAAAGAAAAAAAAAGAAAAGAAAAAAAGAAAAAACAGTAATATAAGAAGTCATTAAACTGTAGAGAAAATATGAGATAAAAAATTACCATTTTATGACATATTAATATTTAACCAAATTTTGGTTATTTACTTTTTCAAAACTGGAAAGAAGAATTGGAAACCTTACATTCAAGAGCTAAATCAACTCTTGTAGACTTAAAATGAGAATACTAATGTAAAAGCCAAAAGATCCCATTAAAAAAGAAATTAATTCTTGAAATTTACTTAAGAGCTGTTTCTAAAAGCTAACTAAAAGAATCCCATTTCTAATAGCTATAATTTATTAGTTTTGTGAAATATGTACTAAAAATTCATAAAATGTATATTTTTACTTACGGATCTTGAGTGAAGTCGTATCTAGAACAAGAAAAATTTTATTTTAGTAAGGGATTTTTTTCCCCATTCAATCAACACAACATACTCAAAGCACTTTTAGATTACATAATCTGCAAAGTTGCCCAATAATTATTAAATTTTGCACAAATTTATTTCCCACTTTAATATACTACAAAAGTAAATAGGAAGCTCATCTTGAAGGGAAAAAAACTACTTCACATTAATTTTCATCTTAATATCCATAAATATACCTCAATAATAGTAAAAGTGTTTAATGCAAAGTGGAATTTACTTTTCAAATCCATAAAGAATTTTTTTTTAAAAATTAAGGATATTTACAAAACGAAAAAAACTACTTCACATTAATTTTCATCTTAATATCCATAAATATACCTCAATAATAGTAAAAGTGTTTAATGCAAAGTGGAATTTACTTTTCAAATCCATAAAGAATTTTTTTTAAAAAATTAAGGATATTTACAAAACGATTACAAACTTATTAGTGCAAGCACCTTAGCAGAAATACCCAGTTTCGGAATATACCACACTCATATAACAACCAGCAACCGACCGGTCATATAATAATTCTCCAATATCAAGAAGCAACATCACTATTTTTATATGTTTCTTACTTCTGTACTCCAAGTTTTAAGAACTTTTATAGACAAACTGATTTGATTTTTAAAACATGTGCTTGTGGGATTTGAATGTAATGGAAGAAACTGCGGTAAAATTTCCACCAGGTTACAGTATGGATTAAAAGAAAATCACTACATGGAACTACTACTGAAACTATACTTAGAGCAACAGCCACAAAATTCAGACCAAAACAAAATTACAAAAATCTAAAAGCTTTCAGATTTTACATTATACCTAAAGGGGTTTTTTTAACGTTCTGTGTGTTATCTTCATTTATTAAATATCATGTTCTTCGCACTTAAACCATAAAATTCAATTCCACAGAAACATTGCAAAATAATTTTTAAATGAGCATATCTTTAGAATTTCCGATACACAGTCTCGCACGCTGGTGATAAAAATGTTCCCCCCCTCTAGTACAGAGTTGCTATTCCTCGCTTTGAAATCGTTGAGTTAGTTAATCAAAAATTCTTTAATGTCTCACAAAATATGAAATAGATAATAAAACACATTTCAAATTCCAAAATTAGGGCTTCCGAGATGCCCAAAGTCAGTGGAGGATTACATTATTCAAAATTCGATGGCTCTAGGTATAGTTCGACCATCTCAAGCACAACCCTGGTTGGCATTATGCCAAAACACATACTCACCCAAAAGGTGTGGTTTTACTTGCTGGGATGAGAAAGGTCTTATCTTCTCCAGAAAGAGTTATGCTGGAGGGAAAGAAAGACCCATCCTTCCACCCTATTTTGAGTATAATTCGGTCCGAATGGCGCATGCATGTTTGTGCTCATGGTCGTGGATGAGGCGGTCAAACTATACCGTTGTTTTATCAGAATGCGAGGAACATAAATACATTTATGCAGATTCTTCATTATTTAATTTCTTTAAATATAATATAGGGCTGTAATATTTGGTGGCAACAGTTTGTAAAGTGAATCAATGCAAAATGCCAAACAAAATTAATATCACTTCTGGGCTAAAAAAAATAATTAAAACCTGCTTGTAAAACTTATTTACTGGGAACAAATATCATATTAAAAAGTAAAATACATATGTGATAATATACATGTATGCAACAAATAATTTTCTGGTGTAAAGTGGCTGCACTATATATCACCGAATTACTAAATATGATTTCTAACACTATCAAGTGAGCTTCATTTACCTTTGTAAAAAGAAATGATTTATTTATTACATCATTTTAGTATAAAATAATTTTAGTATAAAAAATAAAGCAAAAGCTTCATAAACTTAAAAAAAAAAAAAAAAAAAAAAAAAACTGCTCACCTGCTTGGAATCTGGGGAACAGACGGCGGAGATCGTCTTGTATATCCATAACCTTCATAAGGTCGCCTGTAATACATATAATTATCTTGCTGAGGTGCTGACATAGGCGGACGTCTTTCATAGGGATCAGGATAGGGTCGCATGCGATCGACAAAACTACGTTCTCCTCCAAAAGACCTGTCGGCACCATACGATCTATCCATTCCAAAACGTGGGAACCTTTCGCCATATCCACCAGTAGGATAACCGACAGGAGGGCCTGCATTATTCATACGTACAGCAGGATTTCTTGGGCATTCTTTCGACCAATGGCCTTGACGTCCACATCTATAACACTGACCTTTTCCTCCCATTCCAGGCCTCTGTCGGACTTTACTGTGAGATATCTAGAATAAAAATTTGTCATTTAACTATGTTCAGAAAATTAAAATACCTGGATTAAAAATTGTTAAAATTTAAAAACAAAAATTTTTAATTTATGCATCTCTATGTTTTGTTTATTATGTCTTAAAGTGCTAAAAACAAAAGATATCCTTGACATCAACTTACTTCTACAGATATCTTTGAGCCCATGAAATCAATATTATTCAATGCTTCAATAGCAGCTTTTGCTTCTTCTTCTGAAGCCATATGCTTTAAAAACATGAAATGTAGTTAATTATTCACAAGTAGATGCACTGGATATTTTCTAAAAATACACAGCTGCATTTTTAATTATATTCAATGAAAGATATCTTACCACAAATGCATAATTTTTTACTATATCACATTCTTTTACATCTCCATATTTCTCAAACATCTCTTGCAACTCTGCATTATCAGCATTTTCAGGCAAGTTCCCAACATAAATTTTTGTAGTACGCTACATAAAAATTTACCATCCATTACTTTCAAATGAAAATAAATATATTATAAAATGAAAAAATCACCAATTATAGTTAGAATATATTATTGCACACAAACAACATATCAAAAAACAAGATTACAATTCTTCATCTGCCTCCTGAAGCAAAGTATGCATGTAGCATAATACATGTATGAGTATATGCTAGGATCTGCACTTCTGAAATTCAAAGGTCATTTTTCTGATTAATATTTCTTTTTGCATTAAATTCACTTGTTTTTGTCTTAACAAACTGATGTATAATTGTGAGGTATGCCCTCTTATTTTCATTACACTGGAGTGTTTAGTTGGAGCTTACGCCAAACCTTCAACTGTTCTTTGGCAATCTTGGCTAGTGTGCGATGGCAAGTTCTGTTTTTTTTTAAGGGGGATGGGGGGAAGGCTAAAAACAGATTGCTATGCACATGAGAACAGCAGCACCAAAAAAAATCTATAGCATCACTGATATAAACAAAGAGATATTCAAATATTTCTTTTTGATTTTACCAGATAGTTCACCACTATCTGATAGGGGTAAGGATAATTGGAATGTACCACTTTTATTACTTGGAAAGAAATGATTAGCTCTGATGTACTGTAAAACATCAATAGCTTTGTAATAATGATAATACATATTGAAACATATCTACTCACATGTTATTCTGAAACTATTAGAAATTTAATGGAAATTCGCTGGAAACTCTTGTCAGCTCATAAACACTTGAAAAATTTCTTAAACAGAACTGTTTAAGCATCATCTTAATTGCATACAGGAAGTTTTGCAATTAAGATGTTCTATTTCTATTTAACTTTTAAAGACTCAGTAGATAAACTGTTAGTTGGCTGTAAGAAACATATATTTCTCAAAATACTGAAAAAAATTAAGGCATTTTAATTCTTCCACATCTTATAAGCTTATGCTCCTATTTACACTGAAGTTATTATACAAGTTTTCATATAAAGCAGCATATTTTTTAAAATGCAAATTTTGTGAGCAATATAATGGAAGCTTTGAATATTTATTTGCGCATTTTATTCTCTTCTACTAATTTTATCATTATGAATAAGAAGACAAAATTATATTATGTATACTTGTTCATTAGCCAAACAAAATGGTAAATGATTATATATGTAAAACCATATTAGCAGAGCTCAAAATTTACCAACCCGGTAGTCTTGTCAAAACAAAAGTAACATACATTTTGAATAAGAACTGCTAGCTATAAAACAATGATTAAATTAAATTCTTTCACATCAAAAGTTAATATTTCTGCTGTACATTTTTTTCGTACTTACGTATTCACGCCATCGCAGCAGAAGTTGTGCTGATGCGCCAACAAAGCACTCTACCCTTCTTAATAAAATTATTGAAAACATTGCAGATGGTAGCACAATTTATTCTGACAGTTGGAAAGGTTACCAAACAAATAGAATACAAAAAGGATTCCTACATGCTAAAGTTAATCATAAATACAATTTTATTGATCCTGATACAGGAGTTCATACACAAACAGTTGAGAGAATGTAGGACAGTGCTAAATGGAGGAACAAGAGACATAGGGGGACAGCAAGACATCATTTAGAATCTTACTTAGCAGAGTTCATATGGCAACAGTATCAGGTAAAAGAAAATAGAGACTGTTTTGAATCTATGTTAAACACTGTATCGGCCCATTTTCCACCGAAATCCGATTTACTACTTTGATTTTTAAATAAACTGTTTTGATTTTTGAAAGTATTTTGATTTTAAATAAAGTGTTTTAATTTATGATTTGTTGCAAAAATTTTAGGCATAGACTGGAGGCACTTAAAAACCGCAAAATCTGCAGCTGCAACGGTGTTAATACGCAAGTACCTACTTTTTTTATGGAAAAAGAAGTCTATCAACAACAATGAACTGGATATTATTTGCAAACCAAAGCTTTCTTTCACTGGCAGAGCTCTCTGTCTAGTATTATCATTACTACTATAAAAAAAATTATAAATGTACACATTTCTTTTACTGGCAATTCAGGAGTTTTAAGAACTGCCAATGAAAAAAGTTATGGACATCTCAGCAAAAGTAAATCATAATCAGTAATAAAAAGTAAATAAATTATCAATGCACCCACTTTACACTAGACTCTCGCAGCAATTATAAACTAGCAACACTTGAATGATTTTAATTTGCCAGCATTCATTAGCTGCTATACTAAGTATGCATGTTCTGTTTGCAAATAGAGTATGAAAATTTACATAATTTTCTGACATTTTTATATTTGTATTGTATTTTATAATTAAAATATTAAGCAATTTTATATAATAACTAGTTTATGAAAAAATAATATTATACAATAAAGTTTAATTATGGCTCAACAATTTCTTTCTATAAGTGTATCTGAATTTTAGGAACAAAATGCAAAAGACAACAGGTAATAAAATCTGTACAAGTGATACTGGCAGATGAAAAAGTCTGAAAATTATGGGCGTATGGTCTAAGTGTTAACCAAAAGAGGTGGGAAAGAACAATAGTATTTTCATTTTGCACTAACAAAAAATGAATTCCTATTTTTAGAATTACAACATATGGAAACAAATGTAACAATGTATATAATGCACATATTTATACAAATTTCAATATCTCAAAAATCCGCCAAAATACCATTGCTTACTACTCTATTTAATAATATATAAAATGAGAATTTCTATGAAAAAGGTACCTTAAATTTTAAAAAAGAATTTACAAATGAGTCATTTTGCTAAATTTTGATTATTTTTCAAGATCATAAATGAAAATATAAAAATACACAATTAAGGAAAATTATTTTCTCTGCCATATGAAGTTATAAGAAAATTAGTCTGCATATTCTCAACTGTTGCAGTGTTAACATACCACACACCATGTATAAAACAGATGTAAGTGAACAATCTGAAAGGCTATTTATTCATAAGCAATGCAAAACATAAGAAGTTTTATGCTGCTTTTTATGATGCTGAAGTTTTAAAATAGCATTTTAGACGTTTTATAAGGTATTTTCTCTCTCCTTACAGCATACCTTAGTAGTGTAATCTTAACACTGACGTGTATTCGAGAGGTCCAGGACGGTTATTCTAGGCTACGAGAGTCGACAGCAAGTTGTGGGCCGCTAGATGTCGCTACTCGTAAAAAACAAGTCTGCCCGACATCCTATATTCTCTGAGTATGGAAGTTGTCGAAAGTGTGCGAAAAAGTGTTGCCACGTTTTCAATCAGGGTTGAGCAGTTGACGTACTAAGTAGACAATGGCTGTGTTTTCGCTATATGTGTTTTCGTTTTTTTTTTTTTTTTTTTTTTTTTTTTTTCATATTTAAATGAAGAATACGGTCATAAATCTCTGAATCAGTGGCGAATTTATAGAAAATACGTTGATGCTTTTGCACTGCCAGAAGATGTTTTAATTGCGAATTTCAGATTGCCAAAATTTTTAGTTATTTTAATTTGCGATGGCTTGAGAGAGTATTTGGAGCCACATTCAGAAAACAAGAATGTAATTTCTACTGAAACAAAGGTTATTTATACTATTCCCGAAATTATGGATATAAATTGTAATTATATGCTTAAAAATGTAGAAGATAATAAGTTTATCATCAAGCACACAAACTTTCTTGATTTAATACAAATACAGACATCCGATAAGCTTTTACTCGATTTATGTACAGCAAGAATTACGTTTATTTTAAAATCTAACCATTGAATACCTTACGAACAATACTGTGAACACAAAACGGAATGTCGTTCATTATTACGTGCAATTCACACTACTGTAAAATAAACATTTTAAACGAAATTATAAAAATATAAAATAGCTTTATAATATTTTTTCAGTAGCAGTACTACTACTAAAACTTATTTTTAAAAGTGCGATACTTTAAAAAATAAGTTTTAGCTCAGAAGGACTATTAATTTTGTTTTGCCATTTTGTGGTGTTTCACGATATTTTTTCAAATTGTTGCCACTAAATATTATCGCACTGTATTATATTTAAAGAAGTTAAACAATGAGGAATCTGCACAAATGTATGAATGTTTCTCGCACTGTGATAAAACAATGGTACCTAGAGCCATGAAATCTTGAATAACGTAATCCTCCATCCTAATATAGGCATTTGGAGACCCAAATTTGGAACTGGGAATTTGTTTTATCTATTTCATATTTTGTAAAGCATTTATGAGTGTTTGATTAAGAAACTCAACGATTTCAAAGCGAGCAATGGCAACACTGTACGGATTTTTAAAAAAAAAAAAAAATTTCATCAAAAAAAAAATCTCTAGCGTGCAAGACTATTCTAAAGATACGCTCTTTTTAATTTATACGATATTGCTGTTGAATTGAATTTTATGGTTTAAGTGTGAAGAACATGATATTTATTAAATAAAGGTAACACACAAAACATTAAAAAAAACGGCTGTTTGGGAGCAATATAAAACCTGAAGGCTTTCAGATTTTTTCTTTTTTTTTGTGTGTGTGTGTGTGTGTGTGTAATTTTATTACGATTTAAAACTAGTTTCTAAGGGAAACTTGCTCGTATACACGTTCGTTACACATGGGGAAAACCACGAAAACGCCCATGCGGCCAGCCCGTTCGCGGGATTCGAAACTCGGACCAAACTACCAGTGTTCAGCGAATATGCCGCTCGGCCGCTGGTGGGCTTATTAGCAGAATTATACTGTGTTATTATTGTAAAGAATTATTATTGAATTATACTGCATTAATATTGTATGCTATAAAGTAACAATGCTGTAAGCATGAGGGTTTGTTCATGGAATAGTACTTTTCTAATCTATTAGTATTAAAAAATCATTGTTTCTTTGCAAACTTAATAAAGAAATTAAAATTCCAACAATGTAATATTAAAAAAGTCTTAGTAACTGTGTGACAAAAATTGCAATTAATCACATATACAGGAGAGATTAGTATAATTTTGGTTATATATTTTATATTGAAAAAAATTTTCTTATTTTTTAAGTTATAATGTTAATTATACAATAAATTACTTAAATAAAACATTTTGATGCGTGTGTGATAGCTTAATGCAGCAGCAATCGGCCATACTGTAATAGCGAATGAATTTTATTTCTTTTCCAGAAAGAAATAATTTTTATAGAAAAAGAAAATAAGATAAAGGAAGAAAAATTAAGAAAGAAATATTTTCTTTGTAATTTCTTACATAAGAAAATATTTTTCTAATATTAACTGTAAAGTAAATTTGCATGAAAACAGTTTTTATGTAAGCATGGAAAAAAACAACTTATTTTGCTATTAGATTGTAATGCAAATTAATCATATTATAAATTTAAATGATTAAAATTGTTTATTTCTAAAAAGATTTAAGTAAGCTTAATTCATTTACTCTTATTTATTTACCGTTGCTTTCATGGTATCCCACATCACTCTTAGCCCTCAATTCCTGTGTTAACTTTCCCCTTAAAAAACAGGATTTTCCTTCACATAACACAGCAGCATATTCTGCTGTGTGTTGGTCATAATACCATTGTGTGACATTTTTTTTCGAACTACAAATGCAGCGTGCGAGTTAGTGAAACAATGAGAGAATATTCCCAGAACTTCAGCCAGCGCGCACTATAAATTTCGTCACTGGTCTGTGCTGGGATTGGTCTAAAGCTCCCTGAAGCTTTCTCTCCTTTCCGTAAAGTCAAATTGACCCACCCGCCCACCAACTGAGGACCACAGAATGGCTTTCTCCGATAAGTTGTGATAGCTGTCCATACCAGTTTTTTTGAGACAATATTGTTCACTCAAGTTCTAGACAGATCCAGTGATCATAGAATAGGCATCTAGGTTCGAGTTCCAGCAAGGGGCATTGCACATGTTTCATGTCTCCGAGGCATAAAAAAAACCCTAATGACTTTACAGTGATGCTCGAACTAAAAGGTGATGGACAATGATTCATCACCAGGATTTAGCAACTGTGTCTTCTAATCGTATCATATTATATATAAGGTATATAAATGTATAAGGTTTTTTCTCCCTCCTTCTAGCATGTCGCTGTGGTGTAACGGTAGCACACTCAATGCGTATTCAAGTCAGAACGAGAGCATCACACATTTTTCATCTCTCCTGCTTGAAAAAAAAACCAATGACTACAGTCTGTTGTTATATACTTCATAATTAAAAAAATTGTTTTTAAGTTACACAATCTTTGCTCTTAAGAAATACATTTATAGTAAGCTAATCTACATGCAATGCAGTTTTTTACACAAGAGTTAAAAAAGTACATAGTGTGCCAAAGCTATCTGCATTAAGAAGAAAAGCATTAAGAAAATACATATAACAATACTACTGTTACTTCATTTATATACAGCATATTTACCTGAAAATATGACCTTTCTGTTTTGCTACATTATTCTAAAATTTGCTAGGTTCTTGAAAACAGGTATATAGATAAATGAAATTGCAGACAGAAAGGAAAGAGCTTAATAATCAAATTACATGAAATAATTACACTATTTAATTCTAATCCTTTCCAAGTTTTCCATCAAATAAAAAATGAAAAGTAAAGAATAAAAATGAATTTACCATGATGTTTCAGCAACGAATGTCTTCAGCTGAAAAATTTTAAAGAAAGATTTATAAAATCCATTTTTAAAATATGAAATATGCATCTGTAATACAGTCAAAAGTCGTTAATTCGGACACCCATAAACCAGAATGATCTATAATCTGGACATCAAAGCAACAAACTTTCTGCGTTGCTTTGACGCTTGCGCGTAAGACTTTTACAGCTGGGCATATGCGTGTGCGCATGCACATAATATGTTTACGCATGCACGTTTAATGTATAACGGACGGTATAAGCTAAAATTATCTAATTATCTATTTCAGTTAATGTTGCAGATTGTGTTGTTCTTTAATCTTCGAATTGGATCGGCTTATTATTTTTTGCACACTGTTAGAGCAATTTTATAAAAGTAAGCTTGAACTTTCGATTATGTCAAATAGAATTTCCGATATATATTTACTAACATGTAAAGGATCTACAAAGCGAAAGTATGTTTGGAAGTCCATTAAACAAGAAGTGTAATTGCTGCAAAAAATGGATAAAGGCAGATCCTTTGTTTCTCTAAACATTCCGAAATCTGTTTATCAATTTCACGCTGGGGAAGAAGGAACGCCGCGGCACGCTATGAACTGGAAGTTCATCTGTCAGCACTATACTTATCTTCAGGGCAGATTTTTTTAGGTTGATCTTTACAATATGGTAACTGGTAGTTTGGCGACATTTTGGAGGCGATAAAGGTTACTACCTGGGACTTTGGTAATAATGTGAGCAGTACTCAGTTCCGATTACGCATTATTTTGTGTGAGGGGAAATGAGAGATCATGAGATATGGCATGTGATATTAATGGACAAATAAATTACAGTTCTTTAATCGGAAAAGGGGGGGATAAATTTGGACAAAACATCTGCATGTACTATAGCTTTGCAGTATTAAGCTTCATTGTGTGTTGTGCGAAGTAGGGTTGAATTAATTTTTGGGATTGTATGGCGCTATCTAAAGTGAATTCGAAAATTTTTAATACGTTTATGTGATAATTCAAAAGAATTGGTTGAATGGTGCATACGAGTGTAGGATTTAATTGCGGATAAGTATGAATGTCCAAAATGTGGGAATGAAATGAGATTGTGTGAAAGGAAGGATATTACTGATAAGTTTGAATGGCGGTGCAAGAAATCTGGTGAAAATGGACATTTTGTGAAACGGAGTATAAGGAAGGGTACGTGGTTTGCTGAAAGTCGTTTGAGTATGGGTGAGATTTTATTGATTTCTTATTATTGGGTGAATAGATTGCCAGTTGACGATTGGATTTCGGATTTAGAAATTAGTAGTAGGACTGCAGCTGATTGGAATTCTTTTTGTAGGGAAGTGTGCGTGGAATTTTGCGAAAATGATATGGGTATGCTTGGTGGTATGAATGTGATTGTAGAAATTGATGAGAGTAAGTTTGGGAAGCGGAAGTATGAGAGAGGTAGGAAAGTGGAAGGAAAATGGGTGTTTGGTGGGATTGAAAGGGGTAGTAATAAATGTTTTTTTAAGGTTGTGCGAGATAGAAGTAAAGATTGTTTATTGAGTTTTATAAAACTGTAACAAACCTATTTAAGTGTAATTGAACTATTTTATTCACGCCATGAACTCATGAACTGTAACCGAACTATTTTATTTAAACGCCATCTCGTGGCGATACGAAAAAACGTCAGTCGACCTCCAGCCGCCATGATGATAGCTTACTATGTTATGTTATTCTCAATGTTTGATGTTCCATTTGGTATATGTTTCATTTTTTATGTATATTTCTTTTGTTTGTAACCGTTCCTGTGTGCTCTGTTAATAAATCCTTTTAAAGCTAGCCGGCATTTGTGTCTCTGAAAAAACGTCAGTCGACCTCCAGCCGCCATGATGATAGCTTACTATGTTATGTTATTCTCAATGTTTGATGTTCCATTTGGTATATGTTTCATTTTTTATGTATATTTCTTTTGTTTGTAACCGTTCCTGTGTGCTCTGTTAATAAATCTTTTTAAAGCTAGCCGGCATTTGTGTCTATTGAGGAACGGCTACATCACAAAACAATATATTTTACCGGGTACTATAATTATTTCAGATTGTTGGAAATCATATGAATGTTTGGAAGATGAAGGGTTTAAGCATCTTGCTGTAAACCACAAGTATTATTTTAAAGATCCGGAAAGTGGTGCGCATACCAACACAATAGAGGGCACCTGGAGTGGTATAAAAAGCGCCATTCCTAGGCATTTCGACAAGGAGAATTTTGCTTTTTATTTAGCGGAGGAAGTTAGGAGGAAAAATTCGGAAAAAAAATCGTTCAGTAATTTTATTGAATCCATAATAAAAGTGTATCCACCATGTAAGGAAGATTCGGAAGAAGATTAGGTTAGTTAGACTTTGTTAAGAATGTGAGTAGTATTCAGTTCTGATTACGCATTATTTTGTGTGAGGGAAATGAGAGATCATGGGATATGTCATGTGATATTAATGGATGAATTACTGTTCTTTAATGGGGAAATATCTGGGAATTTTGTATTTGGCTTTATTCTGTGTTGTGTGAAATAGTGTTTGTTAATTTTTGGATCCCATGGCCGTAAGTAAAGTGAATTCGAAATGGGTATTTAGTGGTATTGAAAAGGATAGTAATAAATGTTTTTTAAGGTTGTGCGAGAGAGAAATAAAGATGTTTTATTACGTTATTTATTTTACCTGGTATCTTGCTTTGAAAAAGTATGATTTTAAAGATTCTGAAACAGAAGGAAGAAAAGTGTATCCGCCACGTAATCAAGATTCTGAAGAAGATTAGGTAAGTTAGTATTTTTAATTATTTTTATGCATTGTTGTAAATGTAAGGTGGAAAGGAATTTGGCATTATTGGGAAAATTGTTATTAGCAATGATTTAGTTTAAAGTAATTAGGATTGTAAGGTAATTTTTATTAATTTAATGTATGTGCTCATTTATATTTTAAGTAGTGTTTTTTAATTTAATTATATTTTAATGAAATGATAGTTATTTTGTGAATTTTATGTTTGTAGGAATTTGGTATACGTTTAAGTTGAAATAAACGTGCATGGAAATAATTTAAAATATTTGATACTAAGTATTTGTAATGCTTGCGGTATGAATTCGTTGGTGACGTGTATAATGTAAAAGATGATTTAGAGGTAAAAGTTTTTGGATATTCTATTTATTTTATATGTGGAAATGTTGATATTTGTAAAGGGTAAATACTTTTTCGCGATCATGTAATTTCATATATGTTCTTTTTACCGGGTTTAAAGATTGAGAAAATTGTCATGTATTTTCGTGAAATTTTTCTAATTTATGAGAAAAAAGCAGTGTACATGGATACAGTGAAGAGTGTGCGCAATGCCGTTTTTGTGCAATTCTGGGATGTTTTTTTAAGTAAAAATAAGTCGACGAGTACATGGTTTAGTGATATTTTAATGAAATGATAGTTATTTTGTGAATTTTATGCTTGTAGGAATTTGGTATACGTTTAAGTTGAAATAAACATGCATGGAAATAATTTAAATATTTGATACTAAGTATTTGTAATGCTTGCAGTATGAATTCGACGTGTATAATGTAATAGATGATTTAGAGGTAAAAGTTTTTGGATATTTTATTTATTTTATATGTGGAAATGTTCATATTTGTAAAGGGTAAATACTTTTTCACGATCAGGTAATTTCATATATGTTCTTTTTACCGGGTTTAAAGATTGAGAAAATTGTCATGTATTTTCGTGAAATTTTTCTAATTTATGAGAAAAAAGCAGTGTACATGGATACAGTGAAGAGTGTGCGCAATGCCGTTTTTGTGCAATTCTGGGATGTTTTTTTAAGTAAAAATAAGTCGGCGTGTACATGGTTTATGTGTATGTGTTATTTTGAAAAATGCGTAAGGAGGATGGCATTGTGCAGTTTTTCCTAATTTTGCAGTGAATATTTGTCATGATTAAGCAGTTTTGTTTGATAAAATTTCTAGCATAAGTGTAATTCGGCTAGTAGATTGTTGGCAGAAGTGTTCAGGAGATAAAAAGAAAAGAAACATGTCTTTACTTCGTGAAGACGAAATGGCGGCGGGGAAAAAAAATAGAGGGTTGCTGTAGGAGAGTTGGTCGCCAAATTTTCGCCAAAAAATCGCCAAGTTACCATAATGTAAAGATTAACCTTTTTTATTTTATTTGGCTTATAATTCCTTACTAAATGTAGTATTTCATCTCGATGTACTCCGTCTTTGATATGATTTAAATCAAATTCCTCGTCATTACAATTCGCTTCTGATAGTGAAGAAAATGATACAGAGGTTATTGAAAACGAAAAAATTTCAATTGACAAATTAGTCGGTATTCTCGACACAGCGGATCTTTGTAACTGAACAAGAAATTATGTCTGTTTACAGAGGTTATTGAAAACGAAAAAATTTCGATTGACAAATTAGTCGGTATTCTCGACACAGCGGATCTTTGTAACTGAACAAGAAATTATGTCTGTTTATAGAATTAAAGAGAAAGTATTAGCCCATGAAACAAAGCAACTTAAACAACTTACATTGAAAGAAATGTTTAATAAAGTAAACAAATAAATATTAAGCTTTTTTTTTTTTTTTTTTTTTTGTAAATTTTGATACTCTTTAAATCTTAATTGTTCTTTATTTCATAAATTACGGTTTCACATTTTTAATTTTATAATTTCTGCATGCCATCTTACCAGATTTAAACTGATGATCTATAATGCAAAAAAATCGATAATCCGGAATCACGGAAGTCCCGACGAGTCCGGATTAACGACTTTTGACTGTATTGCAAATACACATTCCTAACCACAACACTGTCTTATAAATTTACCTTAAAAAATGATTAACCGAGATGCAATAAAATAAATGATTAAAGAACCACACATCTGTATCTGCGAATAACCCTACAGTAGATATGCAAAACCACAAACAACAGTAAACACTACACAAAAGAGGATGTTCATATATGTACCAATCATGATTAAATTAATGTATACCAATATTAAATAAAATTATTCTAAAATCAGTCTGTAATACAAACTATATTAGTAAATTAAGTTTTTTAAAACACACTGTGAACTAAATTCATACATAAGAATAAACAGGTTTTCATCCGCAGAGAACCCGTTGGCGCCATTGAATTTTTACTCGCCAAGCTCGCGGTTCATTGACGATGAGCCTAGCAGTAAACGTGATGTTTAGTGCATGTAAATTCAAGTTAGCAAATAAAACAATATATTAAGCATATAGTAGTAAAAATTCACAGATGATAAGCATGTAGATGTAAAACTAATCGGTTAAACATGATATAGGAAAATAAATTGGTACTTTTCCGTTTTGCCGGCGCAAGCGATAAAGTTGCCAATAATGGTACAACCGATGCCAAACGGAATATTCTCGCTGGTAACCTTTTACGCCTCATTTTCAAAACAAGTCACAGCTTTTTCTTATCAGAATGATTGTTTTTTTCAATACTGGCATATAATTGCATAGAATTTTTATCAGATAGTTCAGCTTTATGTCTAAGGCCATTTTCGGTAATTAAGTCAATTAGAATGCAATCACAGTGCTTACCTGAAGCCGAAAATATAGAAAAGGTAAAGTCAAGGGTTAAATTCAATTCTAATGAGAATGCATTAGCGAAGTAAAGCACTGCAGTTTTACATAATTTCTGAGTAAGCTATTCGTACGAATTGAAATATTTCTTGCATATAAACTTGTGTTTCAAATTAAGATTTAACTTGAAATTAATGTAGATAATTACTGAGAGCATTAGAATTTTGTAGAGTAGTTTACGTGAGATGAGATCGCTTGGGGTCACGTGATATGAACCGGCGAATCAGGATGGTGAACCATGAAAGCATAGTAAATTCTTAAATTAATGTTTTTTTTACAAATTTATTGTCTTTATTTATTGGCTTTTTATAAAATTTTTAAGCGATATTAAAATGTTTATGCCTTCAAAAAAAGAATTCTTAAAACTAACATTTTTTTAATATTTTTTATGTGTATACTGTATGTTGTCGCCAATAAAGTCTGCTTGGCGACATTTGCGCCGGCGAAACGGAAAAGTACCAATAAATTTGTATTAAATTCAAGTTAGCACAGAAAAGAATATATTATTAAGCATATGCCTACATATTAAATTCTGTAAAATTTGTCGCAAAATTTACAGAGAAACTCAAAAATTTTTCTTGGTGCAATTTTTCAGTTTGTGCCAAGAATAATTCACTTAAGGAACTTAATATATGGCAACCTATTTTCCTTTCCCTTCCATTACGCTGGAGCAGGGAAAAAAGGCACCTCATTCCCATCTTGGCTAATCTTTGGAATATGGTAACAGGTAGTTTGGCAACATTTTGGCAAGGCAATAAAGGTTACTAGGTAGGACTTTAGCAATAATCTGAGAAGCACACAGTTCAAATCACAGATTATTTTGTCTCAGAGAAATAAGAGATCATGAGACGTGACATTTTCCAAAAAAATCCAATCATGATTTTAGCTAATAAGCACTTAGAAACAATTTCGCTGCTGAAGTGCAGAATTGCCCACTTATTTGTTTGGCACTTTTTACAAGAGTAAGAAGAATTGGATTTTTGTCAATTTTCTTTGACTTTTTAAGTGAAAATAGATTGATGTGTACATGGATAAAGTCAAGAGGGTACGCAATGTTACTTTTGTGCAATTCTGGGATGTTTTTTTAGGTGAAAATAGGTCGACGTGCACATGGATACCACGTATGTGATTTTGTTTTCACGAAGGCATTTTTTTTTTTTTTTTTTTTTTGGCTTTAATGTAGAATTGGGTGCCCTTTCGATTGGCGACATTTTTTCGAAAATTTTACAGATGAAACCTCACTTCTGGTTACCACAATAGTTTTAACTTTGTTTTAGCTTCCCGATTTTATTTAAATGAAAATAGATTGATGTGTACATGGACATATTTAAGGCAGTGCGCAATGCCTAGTTTAAGCAATTCTAGGATGTTTTTTTAAATTAAGTAAAAACAGATCGATGTGTACATGGACACAGATCATATGCAATACTTCGACTTCATATTTTGGTTTTGTGTGACGGCCATCTTGAAATTGTATCTTCCTGGCGCCGATCTTGGCGTCAAAAAAAGAATCGCCAATAAACAAGGGGCACCCAATTGTAAACTTTTACCTTTTTTTTTAATCAACATTTTTTTCCACTGTTTTACTGCACCTACAGTGTCTCAAAAAAGTGATGGGACACTTGTGCTTTACAAAAGGAAACTGTAGTAAAATAAATTTAAAAAAACAATAAAAATTTTTTGTGGGTGTGTTTCATACTTAAATTTAGTAACAATTATTACATAACATACATTTTCTCAAAATATTAATTTAATAAAAATGCAATTGTTTAGAACGAGGCAAAAAATGGCACACATAAGTGATGGGACACTTACTTTTCCATCAAATATTTATCCAAAAATTTTACTTTTTAAAAGGTTTTAATAATTTGTTGGATTTCCTTTTACTTTTAAAACATTTAATCTTCTTAGGATGGATTCCACTAATTTTTTATGATTTCTGGAGTGATTTTACCCCATTCTTCTTAAAGCACCGATTTTAATTGTTATTCTGATGAAATGGTGTGTTTGAGAATTCTTGATTCCAATTCTTGCCAAATATTCTCTATGGGATTTAAGTCTGGAGATTGTGGTGGTGTTTTTATTATTTCAGGACAGTTATACAGCAGCCAGAGTCTAACGTTCAAAGCAGTGTGCTTAGGGTTATTGTCCTGGTAGAATTTAAAATCGTTATGAAGGTTCAATTTTCGCACTGAAGATTTCAAATTTTGATTTAAAATGTCAATATTCTTGTACTTATCCATTATACTGTCAATAAAAACAAAATTACCAACTCCAGCGGACGACATAGACCCCCATACCATAACTCCTCCTCCACCATGTTTTACTGTTGGCACCAAGTTCTGTTTGCGAAATTCTTCCCTGGGTTTTCTCCACACCAAGATTCTACCGTCAGAACCAAATACATTAAAGTTACTCTCATCAGCAAATATAACTTCATTCCAGTAATTAGAATTCTTATTTATGTTGGATTTTGCGAAAGCCAGTCTGAGTTTTCTATTCTTTTCACTTACGAAGAATTTTTTCCTGGCTGCTCTACCGTGATATCCAGCAGATCGAATTACTTTACTAATAGTCTCAGGATTAACAATTACTCCATCTAATGCTTGTAAATTAGCAGCAATTTTAGGAGCACTCATTCTTGGATTTTTTTTAATATTTCAAACGATAATTCGCTTTATTCCATTGGATAGTTTTGATGGTCGGCCAGGTCTTCTTTTATCCTGGATCATATGATCCTCTTTATATCGTTTAATGATATTGAAAACTGTTGAAGGACTCAAGTTAACTGTTTCAGCTGTTTCTCTAATAGATTTTCCATGTTCAATGTGCAAATTAATAACTAATCATCGAATTTCGGGCAAAGTTTCTTTTCGTTTAGCATTCACAGCTGCACAGAGCTAAAAAACACAAAAATTCCAAAACAAACTGGAGAGAAATATTGCAGACGATTTTATAAATTATTGCCAATTGCTTTTGAGTAAAAATAAATACTCCAAAAGATATTTTTATTGCTTACTTCAGACGATTTTTGTTGCATAGTACGTAGTGTGCCATCACTTACGTGAGCAATTTTTTGCTCCATTCTAAACAATTGTATTTTTATTAAATTAATATTTTAATATTTTGAAAAAATGTATGTTATGTAACAATTGTTACTAAATTTAAGTATGAAACACACACCACAAAAAAATTTTTTTCGTTTTTTTTTTTTTATTATTTTTATTTCTTATTTTTTTTTTATTTTTTTTTTTTTTTTTTTTTTGTAAAGCACAAGTGTCCCATCACTTTTTTGAGACACAGTATACTTTTTCTTTTTTTTTTTGTATGTATAATGTTTCCAACTTACAAATATAGAGAGTCTGACAAATCTTTAAAGAGCATAGAAGTCGCAAACTTTCACCTCATTAAGGAACTATTTTTTCACTGTGAGAAATTAGGTATTTGCTAATTATTAAAGTACGGAATATTAATATATGCAAAGAGAGTGTCCTTTAAGAATCTGAGAAATAGGGAAACAATGATGTGTATGATGTTCATTTGTCATAAAAATTATTACTTAATTATGATTACCGTTCTTTTGGTAATGGAAACCTATTAGATCTTCAAATAATTAACAGTAAACAGATTAATAAAATATAACACACTTTTAATAAAACGCAGAGAAATATCATAGAAATGGAAACGATCTTTTCAACAAATCAAATTATAATTATTCGATGATGAATTTACAGTTAATATAAATACTTTTTAATTGCATATTAACTGGAAATTCACTGAATAATTTGGGGAAAAGAGATGGTTAAATTTATCACGTTGAATTTTGAACAACGCGTAGATTATAAAAAAAATTACTACCCTATTTTATAACATTAGAATTTCATTGACCAACGCCTTAAAATGCGCAGTCTAAACCATACGGGTATTGATTACGCCTATTATACTACAATATATTCAGAATAAAAATATGGTATACAGGATTAGCGCTATTAATACTTTGTTTCCGCAATACAATACAATAAAGAAATTACGATTGTGATAGCAGATCAGTTTTGCATACCGCTACAGAAAAAGAAAATGGCGATGCACATTAAACGTAAACTACCCGACTGTAAAATACAAAATCAGCTAGCAAAAGATTCAAAATTTAATAACCAAATTACATAGCCATGTACATACCTCAAAAAAGGCTATATTATAAAATGAAATTCCCACTTATATAACTAAATTACGATCAAATCCTTATCAAACGCCTCGAACGCACGACAACTGAAAGAATTACCAACAATCTTATGACGCCTACAAATCTGACCATGCGCAGACGGAAAGAACAACCCGGCATAATTTTGTTGCCATAGCTGATTTTTGATACCTAATATTATTACCGATTTCCAAGTTTTTTATTAATACAAAGAAATGTGCAAATAATTCAGCATCCTTCAAATGAAAGAATGGTTCTGTTAGCATAAATTTAGGTATTTTGCATAATGAAACTCGAAAGGCATACGAAACGAACGTGCGCCAAGGTATATATTGGCGAGAGAAAGTAAAGTTCGTGTGCAATGCAGTATATTTGATTTTCACCCTAGCTACTTGTACCTTGCCAAAGGTCTAATCCAGTAGTACTTTCTTCTCTTTCAGGTACGATGGCAAAGTATATTCCTGTTTATTTTTCTTATTGCCTAATATAGGTAAGCCTGATGATATTTAGTACTGATGATGATTCTATGTAAGTTATTCTTTTGAATGCTTCAATTTTAATGTCCTTGAACATTATTACTTTTTGTTATGCTTAAGTTAAGCAAAATTATCCTATTTTATAAAATAAAGATTTCGTAGTTAATCTTTTGACTTATGATTCTTTAATTCTGTGCTGAGGAAACGTACTCATACGCCTTCAGTGCTAATGCACAACCAACAAAGATTATGAGACTGAGAAATTGAAATTTTGTAATGTTGTAAGATTCCAGGGCATAAAGTGTTTAAAACTCTTTGTTGAAAAAAAAAAAAAAAAAAAAAACTAGTTACAAAGTTTTAAGAATAATTGTAACAAATAATAATGTATTTTCTAAAAGAATCAATTTGTATAGAAAATTAACAGATGAAAATTATTCAGTGTGGAAAATTTAAAATAAAACAACTTCTAATAAAAAAAGGTTTAGATGATGTTGTAATTCGAAGGAAAACCGGAAACTGATACTGATATTGGTTAAAGATGATCGTAAAGCTAAAGCTTTTAATGTGTCTAAACATTTCGGATACCAAATTATCCATGTTTTACATAGTAAATCTGAAAAAAGAAGTTTAGCAAAGTTAAAATTGTGTCCATGAACGTGTAAATTTAACAAATAAGTTATTTCTTCTTAGAAAACTATATTCCATTAGATATAATGAAATTCTAAAATGCAGGAACATATCAAAGGAGTACTAGAGTTGGCTTGAAAAGCTGCGTAGTATAGGTGAAGAAATTAAAGAAAATAACTTAATAGCAATACTACTATGTTCTTTCTACCAAATTCACACAACTCCTTAATAACTGCAAGAAGTAATCGGAAGCTGAATTGTCGCTAGAATATGTTAAAACAAACTAATAGATGAGTATTGTAGACGTGTGGAAACTAAGAAAGTTCAAAAGTACGATTCAATTGCTTTAAAAAGTAAAAGCGAAAATAACCAAAGTATGTTACAACAATTTTGTACTTATTGTAAGAGAAATACCATACGATAAATGACTGTTTCATTTAAACGCAACGCAGAACTTCCCGAAACAGATGTAAATAATGTAAAGTAAAATTATTCTCAAATTTAAAGTAATGCATGCCAATAGCAAATACGCAAGTCTAGAAAAATAACAAAACTAAAGAAATAATATTTAAAGTACAGTCAAAAGTCGTTAATCCGGACTCGTCGGGACTTCGGCGATTCCGGATTATCGATTTTTCCGGATTATAGATCATCAGTTTAAATCTGGTAAGATGGCATGCAGAAATTACTAAAATTAAAAATATGAAACCGTAATTTATGAAATAAAGAACAATTATGATCTAAAGGGTATCAAAATTTACAAAAAAAAAAAGCTTAATATTTATTTGTTTACTTTATTAAACATTTCCTTTCAATGTAAGTTGCTTCGTTTTTCATGTGATAATACTTTCTCTTTAATTCTATAAACAGACATAATTTCTTGTTCAGTTACAAAGTTCCGCTGTTCAAGTCCTATAATTGCTGTGTTGAGAATACCGACTAATTTGTCAATCGAAATGTTTTCGTTTTCAATAACCTCTGGGTCACTTTCTTCACTATCGGAAGCGAATTATAATGACGAGGAACTTGATTTAAATCATATCAAAGACGGAGTACATCGAGATGAAATACTACATTAGTACGGAATTATAAACCAAATAAAATAAAAACATCTGCCTGAAGATAAGGATAGTGCTGACAGATCAACTTCCAATCCGCCGCGTGAAATTGATAAACAGATTTCGATTTCAAAACATACTTTCGCTTTGTAGATACAAATTACAAATTAGTAAATATATATCGGAAATTTTATTTGACATAATCTTTCTAATCTATCATAATCTAATAATGACGTTTCTGCCCCCCCCCCCCTGCCGCAGAGCAGCGTGAAATTGATAAACAGATTTCGGATTTCAAAACATACTTCCGCTTTGTAGTAAATATATATCGGAAATTCTATTTGACATAATCGAAAGTTCAAGCTTACTTTTATAAAATTGCTCTAACAGTCTGCAAAAAATAATAAGCCGGATCCAATTCGAAGATTAAGGAACAACGCAATCTGCAACATTAACTGAATTAGATAACTTTAGCTTAGCGTATAACTCCCGTTACAATTTAAACGCGCATGCGCACAAACATATTCGCAGCCGTAAGGGTCTTACGCGCTCTCGTAAACGCCTGTGCGCATGCGTGAACGCGACGCATGCACAGAAAGTTTGTAGCTTTGAGGTCCGGATTATAGATCATTCCGGATTATGGGTGTCCGAATTAACGACTTTTGACTGTATTGAAACTGAAAATACACAGATTCAATTTAATCTGGTTCTAAAAGTGGAAAATAAACATGAAAACACGCAAACGCAAGAATGGTTATCGACTCGGAGCCTCAATCATATGACGAGTGATAAAATTTTTTCTCTCGGTTAAATGACTCTAATACAAATTAACTGTAGCCAATGGTGCTAAATTAAATTCTTATGGTATTGGTGAAGGCTATTTTAAAAGTTCAAAACTTAAAGGGTCAGGTTACACAAATAAAATTGGAAAATGTATTGTATGTACCAGTTTAGATAGTAATTTACTTTCTGTCAATCTTACCAATAAAGTTGCATTGTTACATTTGATAGTAATAAGTGTTACATAAAGCGTAACAATATACTCGTAGCCTACGGCAACGCTCAACAGGTTTATATAAATTGATCGTAAACCCAATTGATGAGAAAGCATACTTAGCTAATAATGTTTCATGTTCAATACGAAATGTATACTAAATGGCATCAAAGATTAGCCACAGAAATATAGATGCCATAAAAACACTTGAGAAAAATGATTTGGCAGACGGCATTAAACTTGGCAATGAACTCATAGTGTGGAATGTTCTACTTGTGTAAAAGCGAAACTAACTGAAACACCTTATCCCAAAACTAGTTTTTAGATCTAAAATCCACTGGATTTAGTGCACACAGATGTGTGTGGGCCAATTGAAGTCAACAGCTTAGAAGGAAAATATTTCGTAACTTTCATTGATGACTATTCGCGTTATACTCAAATTTATTTTATTACTCAAAATGAAGTATTCGACAAACTTAAACAGTATGTTGCATCGACAACAAATAAATTTAGGAAGAAAATAAGGTTCTCAGATCCGACAAACGGTACAGAATACTGTAACAAAATTACTGAAAATTATTAAAGAAACTCGACATTTTTCACCAAACTTCGGTTCCTTATTGTCCGGCACAGAACGGCGTCGCAGAAAGGAAAAATCGCTCTTTAATGAAATGACAAAAGCTATGCTAATAAACTCTAAAATTACCGAAAGGATTCTGGGCTGAAGTAGCAGCTACTGCTGCAATCTTTCAAAATAGGTTACCACTAAAGCCACAGATAACACCATATGAATATTGGAATGGTAGAAAACCAAAACTTAAGTCACTTACGAGTATTTGGCTGTACAGCTTTTTTTACGTGAACAACAAAAACGGCGTAAATTCGACAACAGAGCCGAAGAAGATATTTTCGTAGATACGATTACGAAGTAAGGGATACAGGATTTATGTAGGTGGAAGAAAAATAATATAGTAGAACTGTTAAATTTTCAGAAAACGCGTCTTTACCTGACAAACTTGCAGAAAAGAATGCTGAAGATTTAGAATTAATTCACTTCATAACTCGCAAGATGAAGAAAATAATGAAAAAACATCTCTTGGCGATGATTTTACAGAAGATTCAAAAAGTCCGAAGAGTTAATTAAATGTGAAGAAATGTAGAAAGAAGGATTTCTACAGATCAACCAAAGAGGTCCCACCGGAAAGATTCTCTTATAAAGCAGAAGACGAAGAATCAATCTTACTTAAAATTAAAGATCCAGAAAGCTTTGAAGAAATTTCTAAACTTACCAAACGTGAACAAGAAGCTTGGATCAGGCTATGCAAGAAGAAATACATTCTCTAAAAGAAAATGAAACCTATAAACTTACAGAATTACCACCAGGAAAACATGCAGTAGGCAGCAAATGGGTGTTTAAGACAAATATGACGAAACTGGTAAAAATATAAAATACAAAGCACGCTTAGTAGCCAAAGGATTTACTCAAAAATACGGCAGTGATTATGATGAAACTTTTCACCAGTAGTGAAACACACTACGATAAGAGTTTTCTTAGCATGGCAGCGTATAAATAATGCCAAGGTACATAAACTAGATGTTAAAACAGCTTTTTTGTACGGCAAACTTAAATGAGAAATATATATGGAAACAACCAGAAGGATTCGTGGTTCCGGAAGAAAGACATAAAGTTTGTAAATTACAGAAGTCGATTTATGGTCTCAAACAAGCAGCTAGGTGCTGGAATGCAGAAATTGAAATACACTGAAGAATCTGGGGTTCAGTCAAAGCAAAGAGATCCGTGTTGTCTTTTCACAAAAGTGGTTCGTGATAAAAGAATTAATTTAATAGTGTATGTTGATGACATCCTAATAAGTTCTACAGAAGAAGGACTAATTCTTCAAACAATTAATGATTTAAAGAAACGTTACCAATAACGCATCTTGGTGAAGCTAATA